CCTTGCACAGTCAAGTGTGAGCCCAGATCTACAGATCTGATTAAAATTTCTTCTTCCAGGTCTTSATAGAAGCTTGTCTTGGAAAGACCGGGAAGGAATACAGGTCAGAACACTTTAWTTTGCTTAATTGCATTGATAGTTTKTCACCTCAAATAAATTACTGTGAAATAATGCAAATAGTACTCAGTAGCTGCGAATCAGCCTGGTGGAGCTGTCCAGTGAGGCTCTAGGGCTTTAAATTGAGTGAGTTTGAAATTGTGGCTTAAGAATTAACCTGGCTGCAGTGTTTGAGATTGTTCTCCTGGGGGTATAAACTGCCCTGAGGAAGTAAAGGACCCTTGTGATGCACATTTGATCAGAGATGCATCTTCTGTTTTGTTAATTTATTTTTAGAGCATAATGACTACTATGGATGATAAGCTGCTTGGTGAGAAGCTGCAGTATTATTACAGCAGCAGTGAGGGTGAGGATGAAGACAGTGAGAAGGARGATAAAGAAGGGGAGAGCAGCATTCCTGAAAGTGTGGGCGAGGTGGAGCTCAGCAGCGATGGCAGCGCTGTCAACACAGGTATCATCATATCAATGTACTTCTTTTTAAAATGAAACTCCTGSTTTTATAGACATTTAAGTCAAAAAGTGATTATTTCTTGGCTGTTGTCTAACCTTACCTTTAATAGCTGTTTTTTTTAGATATTTGACTTCTCTGAGAGGATTCGGCATTATATCTGAAGCAGTCAGGCTTTGGATAGAAAGCTGAGACAAGGCTTATTTGTACAATTCAATTGATAATATATCATTATTTTTGTTCTGATGAAAGCCATGCTAACAGTAGGGGCACTCTTGTGAGCTRGTGGTTCTATTTCAAGAGCCCAGATATTAATCTTTGGGACAATTATAAGAGTAGCCTAGTTAAATTAACTGTAGTCTTATTAAAAATATAGATACAAACTCAAGGACATGCAAATGGCAGATGACTTCTTTCATTTCACTTCAGTGGTTTGCATAGTGACAAGAACATTTAYGGCAGGGTCACTGTTTTACTGCTGSTTTATGAATTATTTCTTGATTGTAAATGATAGGYAAAATGGTATTTTTTTATACAAAATGCCTTTCCACTTAATTCCAGGTCCCAAGGGAGTCATTAATGACTGGCGAAGATTCAAACAGCTGGAAACAGAGCAGCGGCAGGAGCAGCGCAGGGAGATGGAGCGGCTCATCAAGAAATTGTCCATGACCTGCAGGTCTCACCTGGATGACGAGGCTGATAAGCAGAAGCAGAAAGAGCTTCAGGAAAAAATCAATGGGAAGGTAGGATGGCACAAAGGAATTAAAATGCCGCTGAAATACTTARCAGTGTCGTTTGGCTGTGATAACAAATAAGTGACTTTAACTGCAATACCAAAGAAGTCCAAAACATTTTACCAAATTTCTCTTGGATGTTGATAAAAAACTCAACTTCAGGGGCTCAGTAGTGTAGCAAACCTATGAATGCTGCTTCCCCTGCCTGAAACAAGCTTAGGAGCCCTTATTGATGTAGTATTTGGTAAGTGGGTGTTGAGAATTTGAGYTCCAAAAATTGAAGGCATTGGAGGTAATTAATGTTTTTAATCAACTGGGCTKTAAACTAGCCCTGAGTTCCAGTCAGAGAAGTTACTAATTTGCAGACATGTCTGTGCCTTCAGATGATGAACGTTCACTGTGCTCTCCTGTATCTCGAGTGATGCAGACAATTTTAATGAAGCAAGTGAACAGATAGAAAATACATAAAATCCTGTTAATTCCAGTTCTGTGGGCAYGATGGTGCCACGAAATGAAGCTAAATGAAAGCTAAATGAAAAGCTGATGAGGAAGAAGCTCGTCTTAGGTCAGGCACAGTTTCCARATCATCACTCCCAGCTCGGTGAAAACACATGGCCACCATTAACCTGGATTAAAGTGGGAGCATGGAGCAGCCACTTGTGTTATTAGTGCAGCTTGTGGAAACTGCAGTACCCAGGGCTGAAATCGCWGGTCCCACTGGGCATGGTTTCTAATTAGATCAGAACAGAGTGTAATACAGAGGGTGCTTGAGCCTTCATGGAATGCACTTTGCTGTTACTAAAGATGAGTGTCTCACATTGATCCTCTTGATTTACATTCTCATTATGTCAGTCACCCCTACAGTGGTGCAGATCTTTTTCAGGAATCTCTGTGTGTGTGTTTTTTAGATGACTTTACAAGAATATAACATGATCCACAACGATGAGGACGATGAGGAGTTCTTGCAGCGCTACAGGAAACAGCGGATGGAGGAGATGAGGCAGCAGTTGTACAGTGGGCAGCAATTCAAGCAGGTGTTTGAGATCACCAGTGGAGAAGCATTTCTGGACACCGTGGACAAAGAGCAYAAGAGCACACTGATCATGATCCATATTTATGAAGATGATATCCCTGGCACAGAATCCCTGAACGGCTGCATGATCTGCCTGGCTGCCGAGTACCCAGCAGTGAAGTTTTGCAGAGTGAAGAGCTCACTCATTGGTGCCAGCAGTCGCTTCACTAACAATGCTCTGCCAGCTCTGCTGGTCTACAAGGCCGGGGAGCTCATTGGCAATTTCGTGCGCATCACTGACCAGCTTGGAGAAGATTTTTTTGCTGTAGACCTGGAGGCTTTTCTGCAGGAGTGTGGCTTGCTGCCAGAAAAAGACCTGCTGCTCCTGACTTCTATACATAATCCATCTGCCTGTTACAGTGAAGACAGTGATCTGGAAATAGACTGAACCGTTTATGCCAAGGGCCCGTAGGTGTAGTTGTGCTGTGGGATGTTCTTGTGCTAGGGATTGTTCTCTCTCCTCCCTCGTGTGAGTATGTATTCCTCCCCTTCATGCATTTCGACTTTTCCTCGTTAAAAGTAACAAGGAATTCCTAACATTTTCTTAAATTAATTCTCTATGTACAACTAAAACAGTCTCATTTCTATGCAATTCACGTGTATTTTACTTACCACAAAGTTCTGACACAATCCAGTAAGTTTAGGAAATTGTCTGTTGTCATGTCTCATTGTGTTGTCATGTCTCACATGTKTCAATTGAGGTGTGGCCACCAGCTCCCTAAGACAAGAACTGAGACTGCAAATAAAGGCATTTTAAAAACTCGAGACTTACTAACCTGGTGCTGAACTGCTCCAGTTAACAGTCCACAATTTGTAGTCTCCTTCTTGGGAGTATCTTCTTCTAACACTTGGCCTTAAGTTTTTGTTCCTTTCTCACAAAAATAGCGACAACCCCTGGCTTCATCCTGAAAATTGCTTTGCAGCTGGAGAGAGTTCTTCCTCCCTTAACCTTCCCTGAGACACAAATGCAATTACAGCTCTTAATACATTCTTGGGTTTTAGAATACCCATCCTTGGAGTTCCTAGTAGTCACTTCATCAGAAAATGAGCTCTGCCTCTTCAGAGAGACAGTCTGCTACAAAGAGCTCCAGCATGTGTGCTGAACAGCAGCAAGGAGAATTTTGTTGGCAAAATGCAGAATTAGGACTTAAATAACCTCAGAATTTCATCTCTYGCTGAAATTACTAAATCAGTGCTGAAGTTCTTTTCTGTCTGCCTTCAGTAGTAGTAAGTAGACTRTCATTACCTAAATACATGACCCAGTGTAATGCCATGTTTAATGATTCCATTTAATTGCAATTTTTATGTAAAGCACTTTGAAACACCAGGAAGAAATGCAAATGTATCTGTGGATCTTAATAGAATCTTAATAAGAATGGATCTTGGACTAGGAAAAGGAGAATTTCTAACTGTATCTATTTGAACTGTGTTTTAAAAAGTAGTATGAGCAGAAAAATAAATAATCTGTAATTTAAAATGACTGAGTTGGCACAAATTGTAGATGTTTTAAGGAAACTGGCAGAAATCCAGGTTTTCAAATGTGGTGAGAGATTATTTCTTTTCATATCAGAACTGCAGAAAATAAACCCATGTAAGTTATATGAAATTGAATCACTGAGTATGGATATCAGCACATTTGAGGAAAATACCAAAGTAACTGTAACTTACATCCAGGATGAGATTCAGTGAAGTCTGTCGTGCAGACWAGGGTGCATTTTAGCATCATCATAAAACCTTTCTTGGAGAGGGGATCAAGGGAGAGCTGTCTGCTTGAATTGCTTTGAAGTTTTATTTTTATAAAGTGTTTTTTTTTTCCCTCCTGTGGCAGCAAAACTGTAACAAGATCAAACCCTCTCCTGCTGCTCTGTGTCCAGTGGCCTGGGGCAAGGTGACTCCTGGTGAGGAACCTCCTGTGCYCAGGTATGGGAGAGGTRGTTTGCAGTGCCAGTAGCAAAAAGKAGAAGAAAAAAGCTCTGAATCCAATTAATCATTGATGTGGAAGAATACAACAAGCACGAGGGAGYGAGGGGAAAGAAAATGTGCCCTAACCCTGCTGCTTGTTCGTGYGCAGGCCGCGTGGCTGGGAGAGGGGAGACAAGGCTGAGCTGGGAAAAAAAGCTGCTGCTGCTTTTGCCCTTTCTTGAAGCTGAATTTTCAAGGAGTTCTATAAATAGGAGTTGAAAAAGCACTTGTCAGGTAGGTGTGCTGCCTCTGGGGAATGTTTTGTTTGGGAAGGAGCAGCGCAGTGCAGGAGGCAGCTGGCAAGGACGGGTGTTACAGACCCTCCCTGTTCCTCCATGGGATCACCTGGGTTTGCTCMCAGTTAATGATGTTCCCGTACAAACAGCAGGGTTTGAGTGCACAGGGAAGCACTCATGGCTGCTTGGTGAGGCAGGGATGAAATCCCAGGATGAGCTCAATATGGACATTTAATCCTGGTGCCAGCATGGGTGCCAGGCTGTACAGAACAAAATTCATTAAAGAAGAGGTTATACTGAGTTGTTTTGGCCTCTCATCTGCCTCTTCTTTGTAAAATGTTCAAAATATGCCTTTGCTGAAAATCCAAACAAAGTTTCCTGTGCAGTCGCTGGCCTGACTCCCACGGCAGAGGGGCCTGCTGGGGTGGCTGGGAGAGTCTGGACACTCCCTSCAAGGGGGGATTGCTTTTCCATCCAGGGCCCTTCACCTCCTGCTCAGTGAATCATCGCCTCCGAGGCCACACAGCCCCAGATGGATGTTTTCATYGTTGCTGCACGAACCCAGGCAGCTCCATCCTTCCATCCCTGTCCATCSCCACGCAGGCAGGCCGCAGCTGGGCTCCTCAGAGGCCTGTTTAAAAATTCAGAGGATGTCCTAGGAGCAGTGTTTACCAAGAGCTCAAACAGAGGGTGCTTCTGGCAGAGCTCAGCTCTGTGCTGGCCCCAGAGCACAGCAGGGAGCCCTTGCCGTGGTTTGGTGATGCTGGATGCACCAAACACCACGGGTGGAGCACCTTATGATGGGCAAACTGGTGAGAGTGTGAGTGACCCTGCAAACTGCCATGGCTGGAAAACCAGCAAAGAAAACAGCTCAGCATCTGGGCTGGGGGAAGCTCTGTGTGCAGGGGAGATTTCAGTAGTGTATCGGAGGCTGTGCCTGGGGTTAGTGTGTGTTGGTCCTTCAAAGAAACAATTTCTAAGCYTTTCCTGCCAGCAGGATGGAGATGCTTTGCTGTCCTGGGCTGGTTGGAAGAGGTGTCAGGTTTGCCAGTAGTTGGCTCAGCTGAGCTGGTTGGCAGTGGAACATTCCTCCCGGGTGGCAGAGGGCACCCACGGCACTCTCGGTGTGCCCGAGCTCTCATGCAGTTATCAGCCGGTCCCAAGGCAGCGCTGGCAGCCGGCGATAGCTGTGAGGGAACGCAGGATGTTTGTGGTTTAACTGAAACGAGCCGAGCTTGTGCCTCTCGCCAGAGGGATGGGAAGGATGCTCGGGAAGGGCTCACACACAGCTGGGAGCGTGCTGGGCTGGCTGCAGGCGCAGGGGCGTGGGGAGGGTGGGGAGGGATTGCTCCCTCTCTCTTGGATTGCTGCTCAGCACGACAGCAGAGTGGCAGCGCTGGGGTCTCCGTGTGCCAGGAGAGCACACAGCAGGTGAACCCGCCCGCTGTGCCTCTGTGGGTTGTGTCAGCCTCTCTGCCTCCACAGGAAACTAAAATCCAGCTGATATCCTGGCAATKCCATCCCATTTCTGAAGGGTTGGAGAGCGCGTGAGAAGGCTCGTGCCTTGGGAGTCTCTGCTTGCAGATGTTCCCTTGCTATGACGTTCTCCTAACACGTCCCTGGCAAGGCACAGCCCTTTAGACCTCCCTAGTKCAAAATTCCTCGAACAACTCCCTGGCAATCCTGCCGGGATTCAGCAGCGGCCCAGGAGTGGTCCCCTCCTCCAGGTCAGCACAGAGGCTGCAGCTGCAAGCTCTCTCACACACTGTGGCTATTTCATGTCTACAAAACACCCAGATTTATGTGTGGATAGATTTTATTTCTCCAGAAATGAGAGAAGTTTTTAAAATCATTTATTCTTTTAAATGTCCATTTTCCTGGATGGGGATCAAGGCCAGTGACAGTGGCTGCCACGTGGCTGGGCTGGGTGAGGGCTGAGGTCTGCGTGCRTTTCAGGAGGACAGAAGCAGGCTCKGTGTGCTGTGAGGATGTGTTTGCTGAGCTGTTAGTGCAGAGAAGGTGATGATGGTGGGATGAAGGAGATTCCATCCCTGTGTGTGCAGAGGTCTCGCTCTGAGCAGCCCTGGGTTGGCAGCCAGTGGCACATGCCAGGGTCCAAGCCAGCGTGGAGGAGACACGGGAGATCTGGAGATCTGTCCTTATGCTTCTCCCTGGTCTCCTTCAGGAGAGACATTGCTTTGGTTCCTTCTCCCAGCTGTGTACATGTGCTGGGCAGGCACGGAATGGGCTTGGAGCAGGTTCCTCCCCGTCCCTCTGTGTGCTGCCTCCTCCTCCTCTGCACCCCTCGGGCAGCTCAGTGCTTAACCAGGTGCAGCAGGGGAGGAGGGAGTGCTCCCTGAGCTCTGGGCTCCTCTGTTCTGAGCAGGAAAGAACATCTCTTTACTGGAAAGGTGTTGCGTGAAGAAAAATGGGACTCCTGGTCAGTAAGAARTAAGTCAGTGCTAGCCAGTTAACTAAAATGAAATTTTTCCAATCTGATACTTTTCACTAATTCAGAAAATAATCTGGATATGACCCCTCTGGAAGAGGGGCTGCTGGGAGGCAGCAGGGCTGGAAGTGATGAAGCACTGTGGAGTCCAGAGTGTCTGCTGGGGAATCCCAAAGCTGCTTCGTGCAAGGTGTTCAGTAGCAAGAGAACTGAGTCTGCTGAGGACAGCGGTGGCAGCCACRCTCGTGAGGCACTTGAGCTTTTCAGAGAGCAGGGAGCAGCCTCTCCCCGAGGGCTGGCGTGGAGGACACCCAGGATGGGACCATCTCCTGTCCCGTTTCTGTTGGGCACAGGGTGGCAGGTCGCTGTGTCCCCTGCAGGAAGAACAGAGGACACTCAGTGCCAGGCTGGGAGCTGAGCTCAGCCTGGCCCTGGGCGAGGACAGTCCCTACCTGGGCAGATCCCCTGGTGCTAGAGCTCTGTAGATGATCCACCAGCCCGAGGGCTGTGCTGTTCCTCTGYGTCCGGCACGTGGAACGCCACGTACGGGCACTTCTTCACGTTGAGGCACACGAGCTTCTCCAGCGACGCCGTCTTAACGATCTCAAAGCCGATTTCTCCACCAAAGGTACTGGGTTTCCAGTACTCTGGGGAGCAGATGGGATTCCCAAGAAGCCCCTTCAGGGAAAATGGAGATCCGATCTCCACCATGCTTTCCCCAAAAAGGCCTTTAGGGTGGGGTTTCTCGAGCAGCAAGCCTGGGTAGAACTCCAGAGCATCGATGTCTCCATACAGCTCTTGGAGCTCCGCTGCCTTCTCTTCCTCTCCTGCAMCAAGCAAACATCAGAGTGCCTTAGGAATCACACCTGGCAAGGACTGGCCTTGCAGTGGGYAATGGGAGGGTGGCAAGCCTGACTTAGAGGCCAAGAACTGTCCTCTGGCCCAGTTCTGCAGCCCACAGGAGGAAGGAGCCCTGCACCCCCTGCATCTGCCCCTCTGCGAGGGCTGTGAGCAGGCAGGGCTGGGTTGGGCAGGAGTGGCAGAGGGGCAGCTCATGGCTTTGTACCCACCCACGGGCACAGAGCATTGTGCCTTGTACCCACCCACGGGCACAGAACATTGTGCCATGTACCCACCCCAGGAACAGCCCTGCAGCCCCACCTGTCAGCTCCTGGAAGGACTCGTAGGGCTTCATGCCAAACCTCTTCCGATACTCGTTGAAGGGCTGGAGCCTCAGCTGCCGGGATTCCTTGATGACCCCAACGGCCACATGCAGGATRTTGGTGTTGATGGTCTGTATCCCACCGATCTGGGGGGGACAGCACAGTGAGGAGCACGCGTTAGGCACAAGGCAGCACCGGCATCRGCTCCAGGGGAGCCTCCACACCAACACATCCCTGTCCTGGGCTCGTGTCCTGGACACCAGCACGGCATTGCAGCAGCAAGAACAGGGGGAACCCGTGGACAGTGCAAAAACCAACTGCAGAGCAGCCTGGTGAGGTCAGCCCTGCTCCCAGGGCAGGGAATGGTGCAGGGGATGTCCCAGCTGGACAGTGACCCAGAGACCCGGGAGGAGGACAGAGATTGTGGCTCACAGGGACAGCCCGAAGGGCCTCAGCCTCAGCTGAGCTGCTCTGGGGATCAGGAATGGAGCTGCCAGCACTTGGAGGAAAACATCCATGCGATGGCAGCAAAGAACAGCGCCAGAGCTGCTGGGGAGATCTCGGCTCCCACAGCATCTCCGGGGTGTTTAATGCTTACTACAGAGCACCGAGAGTGAGAAATGGGGCTGCCAGGGCCAGCTTGAACACGGTGCTTGTGGGGAGAGCTCCTGATGTGCCCATCGGGTGCTGCCCTGGGCACAGACTCTGGGTGACACGTCCCCCTCTGCACTCAGGGTACCACGGGTGTCCTCCTGGGGTGACAGATCCCTCTCTGCACTCAGGGTACCACTCCTGGGGTGACACAGCCCAGCAGCGGCACAGAGGGCATAGCAGCACCTTACCCTTCCTGCTTTCTGCTTGGAAAAGGACTCCACCAGTGCCTCCACGCCGTAGTCCATGAGCATGGAGGTGTTGTAGATGAACTGCTTGTAGCTGTACTCTTGCCCCTGGATGATGAAGGAGTCGGGCATCAGCCCGTGCCAGTGGTAGAGCTGGTTGAACTCCACGGCGATGCGGTTCCGGTACTGGAACTGGTACCCAAACAGCAGCTCGGGGTCGAACTTGAGGCTCAGGTARTACCCGCTGAGGTGCTGCACGTAGTCCTCAATGACGATCTTTATGGTCTCCCCTGGGCAGGAGAAGAGAAGCAGCTGGCACAGCAGGAGCCATCAGCTCTGCACCCCAAAGTGTTCCCCACATCTACAGCACCCATCACCTCCTCCTGGCTCTAGGCTTGTTGAATCATTTGGGAATTTTTCTGTGAATTCATTTTTCAACAGCAAATGTCCATCTGCCAAACCCAAAGGGTTGCTGAGGGAGCTGATCTGGGTGTATTTCTTAGAGATACCGTGGTGACATGGCTTTGTTCTGGATTTTGATCAGAAATTACTTTTCTTGAGCTGATAGCAAACTCATAATAAACATTAATAAGAAATAATTCAAAATCATGACAACCTTTTCCAAAATTAGTGTTTTTGATGAAGTCAATTTTTTTGCTCTATGGACCAAAACCAACCATCCCCAGAAGGAGGGCTGCAAAGGCAGTGTGGCCACTGYCCTCAGACAGAGCTGGCCAAAACACGGATCCCTGGGGGCACGCAGGGGGTGGGACACGGCGCTGCAGGCTCCTACCGATGAGGATGAGCCGTGCTGTCTGGAAGAGCTGCTCGTCGCTCCAGGTGGGATGCTCACGCTTGAGCAGGTCACAGACTCGGTTGTGCTCGCGCAGCCAGAGCGTGGCGTAGACGCAGAGCCCCGGCAGCAGCCCGAACACCTCCTGCCCCATGGCCAACTGCTGCTCCTTGGGCACCCCCGAYGGGTACACCATGTGCACCGGAGCATCAGTGACTGCAGGAGGGTACACCTCGCCATCCACCACCTGGGGACACAGCAATGGCATGGCAGTGAGGGCACAGGGGACACAGACACCCTGGGAAAAGCCAGCCCAGCCAGCAGCTGCCTCTCTAAYGGCACCACAGCTCTCCTGAAAGAGGTGAGTGGAATGGGAACACCTCCATCAGAGCAGCTGCACCCCAAACTTTGTCCCCAGCTTGTCCCACACACAGCATCAGGTCTGGGGTCTCCCAAGAGCTGCCAGAGATCACGGACTCCAAACCACCCTGGCTGACAGGGACGCGTTTCAGCCGCTCTGGGTGGTACCTGGAATTTCAGCTTGCCGTCCCTGAAGAGGCGCAGCTGGTGCTGCCGCTGCAGGTTGTCCCCGTACAGGTGTCCCAGGTCCACCTGTGGAGAGAGCAGGGTGTCAAGGCTGCTCTGAGCGTGGCACAGACCCCATCCCTGTGCCCCCGCTGCCCCCGCTGCCCCCGTGCCCTCACCCCGTGCCCCAACGCCTTGGTGAAGCCGCGGCCCATCTTCCCGGAGGTCTTCAGGAACTGGTGGGTGAAATGCTGGGCGAAGAAAGCGAACATCATGTTGGTGCCTCGGGGATCTGCGTTAAACTTCTGGCGCATCAGGAACCTCTCAGCCAGCAGCTGCGGGTCAGGGAGCTGCAGCTTCCCTGCGGAGGATGGAGGTTGAGGGCGGGTGCCCAGTGCCAACCCGGCTGGGTGCTGGTGCTGTCTGCTGCAGCATCAGGCACRGCTCATCTGCACAGACACCTTGCAGCCCTCTCCCACAGGCTGTGACATGTCCCAGCAGCTCAGCCTGAGCTGTCCCAGCAGCATTTCAGATGCCACCGAGCTCCTCCTGCTGCGGAGCCAGCCCGGGCAGGACCGTGGTAGCACGTGGCACTGCCAATGGTGGCCATGGCAATGAAATCTGGGCTGTGGCCGGGTGGGAAACACTCAGGGTGAAGGTTCCCCGGGCTGGCCACATACCTTTGGTGCCCATGGGCATGGGGCAGTCGTCCGGCACGGGCGGGAGGACACGAGTGTAGTAGCTGACGTTGGCATAGGCCTCCCAGCTGATGTAGCCGTAGTCAGAGTTGAAAGTGGGGGGGCTGGGGATGAGATTGGCACGAACTGAAAGAAGAGAGGGGGATCAGCATGAGGGGCTGGGGGCAGCACTCGGCAGGCTTGGCCTCTGGTCCCTGTCCTGCTGCTCTGTGCTGCCACACAGCCTCTCCTGACCCCCCAAAAACCAGAAAGGTGCCACAGTGGAGGCACGTGGGCGTCCTGGGCTCTGCTCCGAGCCTTTTAAAGGCCGCAATTCCCTGCAGAAAAGGAGGGCTCATGCTAATGTGCTAAGTGGATTCTTGGATGATGAATGAGATGACAAACCCACAGAGATGGYGCAGCCAACAGCCGGAGCCTTGTGAGCGTGTCGCTACGGCTCCAAGAGCTGGAACCTAAATATTTATGCAAAGTGATGGATATGGGGACATGAGTAACGAGGGCCATGTTTGCACAGGCTGCTTTCTGTGCAGCTGTGACAGAGCCCCTTGGCGCGGGGAGCGCAGCGTGCCGAGAGCTGCTCACGTTTTCCAGGCAGCTGTCAGCCTGGCACGGTGCTGGGGACCCCCTGCACCCCACTGCGGGCTGGGCAGCACCCCAGGCACAGGGACAGTGGGACAGGGTGAGGGGAGGACAGGGTGATGGGAGGATAGGGTGATGGGAGGACAGGGTGATGGAGGGACAGGGTGGTGGGAGGACAGGGTGATGGAGGGACAGGGTGATGGGAGGTCAGGGTGATGGAGTGACAGGGTGATGGGAGGACAGGGTGATGGAGGGACAGGGTGATGGAAGGGCAGGGTGATGGAGGGACAGGGTGATGGGAGGACAGGGTGATGGAGGGACAGGGTGGTGGAGTGACAGGGTGATGGAGTGACAGGGTGATGGGAGGTCAGGGTGATGGAAGCACAGGGTGACAGCCTCCTGGGTGTCCTGCTGAGGTGACTCAAGACCGATGCCCCCTGTGCCCACAGCAGCCCCGCTATCCCCAGCAAATCCTCGGGTCCTGCTGAGCCCCAGGGCCCTCTTGCACCCCTCACCTGTCAGCACCAGCCTCATGAGCGTGTCCCTGATGAAGGTGCTGTTGATGATGTCCCAGAACCACTTGAAGTGGGTCAGGATGAAATGGAAGAAGGCAGGGCTGGGCCTCAGCAGGTTGTGGAGACGTGTCCAGAACTCAGCTGGGGGAGACAGAGCAAGCAAATGACCACTGAGCAGCCAGCCCAGCCAGCCACCGCTGCTGCCAGTGGGTGCTGTGGGCACGGTGCTGCGGGCACGGGAACTCACGGGAGGTGCAGTTGACCCCGTAATATCCCGTCCGTGTGCAGTCGCACTCGTATCCTCTCAGGCCGACCCTCACGCACACCCCTTGGTTCTGGCACGGGAAATAGCAGCAGGGATTCACTGCAGGGAGAAAGAGAGAGAGACAAAATCACCATCGAGCCACCCACGCCACTGCTCTGGGGGCTCACTGCTCCTCAGAGGGGGACCCTGCCTGGGACACAGCCCAGCTTAGGGCATGAGGTGCTTGATGCAGCCGCCTCCAAACCCAAAAAGTGTCAGCAGCAGCCGCAGGAGCCGAGCGCTGCCCTGTTGTGTCCCTCATGCCCGGGGGCGCAGCTCGGTGCCCCCGGAGCCCCGGCTCGGGGCGAAGCGGAGCAAACATCATCTCCATTACAATAACAGCCATTGTCAGCGCCGTTTGCTTTGGCAGGCGGCCCCTCCGCGCCCGCCGCCCCCGGCGGATGGAAAGGGCCTCGCTGGGCTCGCCCCGGCCCCTTCCTCCGCCACCTTCGTGCCCGGCCTGCAGGGACGAGATAAGAGCCCTTCCCGCCGGCCCCGGGATCCGTGGGACAGGGAGACCCCCGGCACTGAGCGGCTCCCACGCTGGGGCAGCSCCTTCCTTATAACTCCACCATGGGCAGCCCCTCCGAGGGCAGCAAAACCCGGCAGAAACAGAAACAGAAACACAGCCCAGGGTGGCCAGAGGCTGCTCTGCCCTCCCTCACCCGGTGTGATGGATTGCACAGCTCCACCGGGACACGCAGCACGCAGGGACAGGGGTGCCACCAGTTCAGTGCCAGCTCTGGAGCTGCGGGAATGGGGACGGGCAGCACACCCCGAGTGCCTCTGCCCGTGTGCCCGGTGCCCAGCTGGGGAGGGAAGCTCTCCCGAGTCCATCAGCTGCTCACTGTGGTTCACGATCTCATCAGATCCCTGCCAGCCCTACTTCAGGTTCTTCTGGAATCTGGCTGCTGGCGTGGAGGGATGGCATGCGGAACAGAAACCACATTTTTTCCATAGGAAATTGCAGCTAAAAATTGACATCTTTGAAAAAATAAAGCTAATTGTGTGAAGTCGCTCAGTCTCCGGGCGGCCACGCACTCGGGCCAGGGCAGAGGCTTCCTGGGAGCCTGGGGCTCAGCCGGCAGCTCTGCCGGGCTGTGCTCAGCCCTGCGGCCCCAAAACCCCCACGGGACTTGCAAAGACGAGTTCAGCTCCCAGCACCTCCATCAGGCTCCCTTTCATCTCGGATCTTTTCATGTCTCCAGACGGGAGGCAGCAGGCGGGATCTCGCTTATCTCAGACAAATTAAGGTCAGACCACCCGTTCAGATTTTTGCAAGATGGGAATTTTTGGAAAGGGGGAGGTGTTGCAGCGCATCTGGAGCATCCTCAGGGCTGTTCCCACGCMGTAGCTCCACACTTGATCTGCAAATGCCCCAGAGAGCGGCCCCATGCCGTGCCCAGGGGATGCCCAGTTTTTGGGGTCGCCGCAGCCGCAGGGCCGGGAGGATGCTCCGTGCACAGCCGCTCGTGTCCTGCCCGTCTCTCCAGCCGATTTGGGGAATCAGGAGGAGTTCCCTGGGCTGGGGCCCTCCCCGGTGCGGGGCTCGGTGGCAGATCGTGCCCAGCCCTCCGCCGAGGCGGCTTTGGCAGCGGGCCGCRCCTCGCACGGGTCACCGCGGTGTCAGCGCCGCGGGGTCCCGGAGCTGCGGTGGGAGCAGCGTGTTCCAGCAAGGCTGGGAGGGGGACGGAGCGTGTCCCGGCCCGCGGCAGCACCCCCTCACATCCTCACGGAGCCTCCCTCTGCCGCAGCTCCGCGCCTTTCCCCACCCCGGCCGGGAATCCTGCGCTGGCGCTGCCAGGAGCTGCAGGTACGGGAAAGGCGCTGCGCRGGGAGCGCGGCCCCTCCGTGACCGCGGGGCTGCTGCTCACGCTCCATCACCGCTGAAAAATGCCAGATTTCGGGGACAACAACATCCGTTCCGCAAACCGCAGCCAAAGCAACCTGGGGTGAATCACGGCCGGGACGGAGCCGGGCTCGCTCGATGGGACGCGGCCCCACGGCCGCCGGCTTTGAAGACGACGAAATGATTACGCATTTGTTTTTCTGATGCAGGAAGGTTTCCTCGGGCCCACGAGCCGTTCACAGCGCACGCACCACAGCCAGATTGTCATCTGCAACCACTTCTGGCAGCACCAGAGCGGGAGCAGCGTGCCAGGGCCGCAGCTGCGCTCCACGTGGGCTTGGTGATGCTCCCCCTGCACCTGAGCCAGGCTGCCCGCCCGGGATGGGTGCAGGGTGACACAGCCTCACAGGGCTCTCCAGTGGCATCTGGGTCCACTCTGGTTCCACTCTGCAGCCCGGGGTGACTCGCAGTGAGCCCCATGCACTGTGGATGTGCTGGGAGCAAGCACAGACCACGGGTTGTGTTAACAGATGAACCCAAAGTGATGCTCCCAGAGCTCCCCACGGACGGTGCCCACCCTGCCCCGAGGTTGGGGCTCGGGCAYACGGTGATGTTGGGGCGCTGCCACYGCTCCTGTCYGGCAGCAATGGCTCACAGGGAGGAGGGACAAGCTCACTTTGCAAAAATATTTGTACAAAAGTGCACCCCTGAAGGCAAGGTAGCAGCCAAGGGCAATATCAGCAGGGAAAACTGAGAAACGCCATGGGACCAGCCTGGCTCTGCTCACAGCCAGAGAAAAAATCTACAGAGAACAAACACCGTGGCTCAGAGCCAAGGTGCAGCCTCCGAGGAGGCAAGTGGAGAGCTCTGAGCAGCAAACACCGGGTGAGCAGGAGATCCCAGCCTCAGCCCAACATCCTGTTATTTGGTCATTGAGAGAAGATCCGAGGAGCAGATTAGGGCTGTGTTCCTCCTGGCCCAGCGCTGGGGAGGAGCAGAGCCCGGACGTTCTGCTGACAGCACCTGGGGGCACAGCACGGCTCCCCTAATTTCTCAATCAGATATCTCCCTCTCTAATTAAGGCTTGGAAAAGAGCCGTCCTTTCATGTGTATCGTGTATCCCAGGTATTTCTTTCCCCCCACGCAGTGAAATTTGCTTTGATCGTGGTGTGCAGCACTCGGCTCCAGGGCAGCACCATCCCAGCGCTGCATCCTCCCAGCTGCTTCGGGCACCTGGTCCCCAGCGTGTCCCCAGCGTGTCCCCAGGCCCTGTCCTGTGCTCAGCAGGACACACAGCTGCTGCTCCAGCTGTCCTCAAGGCACAGAGGGGCTCCTCAGGAAGATAAGGCACATGTAAAGACATGGCCAAGGGATGCACAGAGGCTGTTCCTTGCCTGTCCCCACCTCCAGCAAGGCCCTGRGGGCCCCTCCTTTCAGCAGCCACAGTGGGGTGCCTGTCACCTCCCCAGCCACACTGGGGTCACCCCCTTGTTCCTGGGGGCTGGAGCTGCCCCATCCCCATCCCACCGGGTCACACCCTGTCCCCTGCTGTCCCCTGCAGAGCTGACACGGCTGCCCTCAGCACGGCCYTGGGATCCACRCAGCCGTGGGCCATGTTCCCTTTTYGGAATGCTCACGAAACAAGGAAGTCTGCTCCTCGGGGTCTCTGTTTTGGCACCGGACCAGCTGCTCCAGCACAGAGAAGTCCCTCCCRTCCCAGCAGGACAGGGTGGGAAGGGCAACATTCCCTGCTCAGAGCCCAGCTCTGCTCAGCCCAAACCCACCCAGTTCAGGGCGCTTCTCCTGCAGTCCCATTTCCCCCACCATGGGGTGTCTGCTGCACCCCTCATGCTCAGCCTGTGCACATTTTGGGGGCTCTTGGGTGTGGGCACAGCRCAGCAGAAGGTGGYTCTGGGCAGGTTGCTGGAGATGGGGTCACCACTGGCACCATAGGAGTGCAGGTGGCCAGAGACCCTCGAGAGACACAGCCCATGTGCCTGAGAACGCTACTTCAGAGAGGAAATGTAAAATCTGATAAGGCCCCAAGCTGCATGCTGRTTTTCTTCAGGCAGGAAGGCCATTTCACACAAGAGGGACCTGAATCAATGCCCTGGGTGAGGACCTGCAGGAATCTGCTGATGGGAGCTGATGGGATTCGAGAACGGGTTTCATTTCATCACATGCTCCATAATCAACATTATTCCTCGACATCTCCGGCTGTGCCTGAGGCCGGACAGCACGTGGTGAGCTCCTGCAGCACATGGCCATGGCAACGAAAGATGGCTCAGGGCCGCGGAGCCATCCCTGCTGCTGCCAGCCCTCCATCTCCACTCCCGCTGCAGTGTCACCGGGTGTGTGTTTGGGGACAGGGGAAGGRTCCTGGCTGCCCGCACGCAGCGGGGGCTGTCCCCGTTTCTTTGGAGCAGCCCCGTCCCGCCCGGGAGGCTGCTGGAACCAGCACTGACCCTCAGCCCGGTGGCGTGGCCGCGGGTTTGGCGAGGCTCCAGCCCTGTCGTGCGTCCCCGACCGCCTCGGGCCAGCGATGTCCYCCCCGGGCCCTGCGTGTGGTCCCTGCGCGGGAGGCGGAGGGGAAGTTTGTTCTACCCGGGCGCTTTTGCTCCCAGCCAGGCGTGACGGGCCGAAAACTGCGGCTGCGRGCGCTGCGGGCACCCTGAACGGGGCAGTGGCCGTGCCACCCTGCCCACCCTGCCTGCCCTCCGCCCCGGACACTGAGGGCACCGGCGGGCTCGGACCAGCCGGGGTTGATGAGTGCGATCCCGCCCGGGACCCTCCGGAGCGCGGCCCCGTCCGGCAGCGCCCGCCCCGCGCCCCGCGCCCCTCCGGGACCGCCGGTACCGGAGCCTGCGGGACCAGAACCCCCGCGCCCCGCGGTGCCCAATGTCCCCGGTGCGGGATGTCGCCGCTCCAGCGGCACCGACTCCCCCGCCTCTCCCTCCCTCCCTTCCTCCCGGTGCTGTCCCGCCCCGCGTACCGGAGCCGGTGCCGGCGGCGCTCCCGGCGGCGCAGAAGAGCACGGCTTGGGCTAGCAGCAGCCGCAGCCCCGCGGCCGGCGGGGCCCGGGCCCGGCACCCACCGCCCATGGCGAGAGCAGCTCCGCCGCGTCCCGCCGTCGCACCCGGCGCGGCCCCGCCGCCCCCGCCCCCGCCGCGCCGCCTCCCGCCCCCGACGGGACGGGACGGGACGGGATGGGGCCGCCTCCGACAGCCCGGCCCAACGGGGGCTGCCCCGGCCGCGCCTCCCTCCCCTGGTGCCCGTGGCCACCTTTGCGTCCCCAGATCTGCCCGATCCTTCTGTGCCCCGGGAACCCCAGGTTCCCCCGTTTCCCTCCCAGTTCCCACCTGTCTGAGCATCTCCATGTCCAGCTTYTGGTCCCCTCATCCCGCCGCATCCCCACTCTCCTGCCATTGTTCGCACCCCTATTCCACACTCCGATCCCGAATCCCAGCACTCCGTGCCCACCCCCTGATCCCCGGGGCTCAGCTCCTCCGCCAAGGGGCTGCCCTGGCAGCGCTGCCCGGCTGTGCCAGGAGCCCGGCTGKGCCAGGAGCCCGGCTRTGGCCAGAGGAGCCGGGTTTATCGGTGAAACCATCGCTGGTGTTTCCTGCCGGATGCTTTGTTCCCAGCTCCGGTCGCTGGCAGCACGGACAGGATCCAGCCAGCCCATCCCGGGCCGGCTCCAGCCACCCCACAGGAATCGTGTGGGGCTGGGAGAGGCTCTGCAGGCTCTGGGGTAGGCGAGTGCATGGTGGGCTGCAGACATCGCTGGGATGTCCCCAAAATGCTGGAACCCAGAGCTCAGAGCCTGCGGTTGCTGAGCCCCTGCTGTGCTGCTCTGCGGAAGTGGCGGAGACCCCAGCACAGCCTGGTGGTGAGTGAGGATTATCTCGGGTTTTGCTGAGCTGCAGGAAGCCCTGTCAGGCTGGGGGTGAGCAGTTCCTGTGTGGATCCCGCTCGATTTCTCTGCAGGGTTTCAGMGCCGGGGAGGGAGTGCCCTCACAGGGCAAATGGCCTTTACAGGTGTCCAAAAAATGAACAAGGGCCTCAGATCCAGCTTCAGCAGGCGAATGCACCAGCCATGACATAAACATGAGCTCAGCGGGCTCTCGGTGCGCTCAGCAGGGTGGGGACAGTCTCTGCCTCCCACTGACGAACTCGTGCAGGGAGCACGGGGCAGGTTTTGCTCTGTGTGCGCACTTGGTGCACTCAGCYGGTGCCACGGCTGCTCCTGCGCCCTGCCAGCCTCCCCCGGTGTCACAGCCCCAAGGAAGGCAGCGCTTCACCCCGTGGGTGTGCGTATTTCCTCTCCATTCCCTCTCGCAGCGCCACCAGCCCCAGCTCTGGCCTGTCCCCCTCCCGATGCTTGACACTCTTGACCGCAGCACGCGTGACCTGACAGAGCCTGACCCCTCTCACCCTGCAGGGCAGCCCGGCAGCCCTTGGGGATGTCCCTCTCCGGCAGCTCTCCCGCTCTCACTGCCCCCTCCTTTCCCTCTCATCGGGTTTTAATAACCACYCTCTTGCACAACACGGGAAACGCTTGCAACAGCCCGGGGCCGGCTGTCTGGCCAGGGCTGCCATGGAGGGGCTGTCGCGGCTGTCCCGGGCGAGGGAGGGGCTGCTGCTGCCGGTGCAGGGTGTGCTGCAGACCCCATCACTCCTGGTGTGTCTGGAGTGCCCTCACTCAGCGCTCAGCGCTGCCGGGGGTGCTCAGCTCTAAAGCAGCGGCTGCTGAACTCCCTGGTGCCAGCCCCGGCTGCCAGCAAACCTCCCGCGACTCTGTCTGAGCTGCAGCCCACGGTGTCTGACCTCAAGTGCCAGGACGGGAGCCAGCCCGGGTGCCCAGAGGAACTCCTGTCCTGTTCCTGGGAGGGCGGTGCCGGTGGGCGTCGTGTGACAGTGCGGTGCCACAGCCCCGGTGCCAGGCCAGGGCCACCGGGGGCACGGGGGACACGTCTGGGGTCTGCCGGGGGTACCGGTGCGAGGTCACCGCCCCGGTGAGTGCCCTGTCCCGGCACGGCCCCACATTCATGTCCCGGCAGGGGCGGCGGGGCCCCGGTGCTGCGGGCGCGTTCTCCCGTAGGGAGGCAGCAGAACACCGCCGATGGCAGCGCGGCGGCGGCGAAGGGAGGGAGGCGCTGGGAGGCGCTGGGAGGCACTGGGAGGGACTGGGAGGCAYCGCTGGTCCTGAGCTGCTCTGCCTTGAGCAGCCTCGCATCTCCCCTCCGGTTCAGAGACCTTCATCCCCGAGTTTGGGGCGATGCTGCCCCCGGAATCTGAAACGTAACTGGAGCAGGACAGCGGGACACAAGATCCTGTGACGGGTCAGCCCCCAAAATCCTCCCCACACCTTCCCAAGGATGCCAGAGCCATGGGAACAGTGCGGCGGCCCCACAGCCGTGAGACAGGGGGCAAAGCGGAGCAGAGCTGTGGGGCGGCCAGGCAAGGACACCCCAAAACTCCCCAGCCCAGAGCTCCGGGGTGGCCGTGCCCGTCACGGGTGTGTCCCTCTGATCTGCAGGGCCCTGGAGCAYCCCGGGCTGACCCATCCTCGTCCGTCCCTGAGCAGCTTCCCTGTGGGATGGGTTTCGGTGGGGGAACAGCGACCGTGGGCTGAGGGGATGGGCACAGAACACAGAGGCTGAACCCCACGTTTTTCTGCTGCAGGGCTGAGAAGTGATCGGTTACAAGCCTGCATGGAGAAGGTCCCTGATGGCCAAGGAAAAAAGGGCACAGCAGATTCTGGTGGCTGCAGACCCCGCAAGGGGCATCGCTCAGGGCTGGCACCCCTGGCTGGGCTCAGGGGGGCTCAGAGGGGCTGTGGGGCCAAGCGGGGCAGSAGTGGGGCAGCAGTGGGGCAGSCCGGGGGGATGAACCCTCCCCGATGGCTGAGCAGGGCTGGCGGCCCCTTCCCCAGCTCCACCGGGCACAGCAGCGCAGGACCCAGCATTTCCTCCGGCATGGGGAGCTGACAGACAGTTTGGGGGGCTACAAAKCAGAATTGAAAAGCCGGGGCTGGACAGGCTGTCTGGGAACTCGTAACCTGAGCCCCAGGAAAGGAGGACTCAGGAAAGCGCTTTCAGCAATCATATTCATCATCTTCAGCTCGGGCTCATTAGGCTCGCGGAGCCCGGCCCCGCCACCGCCAACGCCTCCCGCACGCAGATAGAGCCGCCGGCTCAGACAAATAAATGCTTCCAGCTTCCCGCTGGATGCGGCAGGTCAGGGAGCATCTGATGCCAATTACCCGCGGTGTTGGGTTCCCCGGCCAGCCCCGCGCAGAGCGGCGGCTCCTGCGCTCCGGCCCCGCTGCCCAGCTCTGCCCCGGCCCCGGCCACCGAGCCATCCCCTCCCGCTCGGGGTGGCCCCAGGGTCACCCTCTGCTCCCGGGGCCATGGGGGCAACCGAGGGGAGAGTTTTGGTCTCCTGTTACGGGGATCAGGGMCCGGCACCGGGATTGATCACCCGAGCAGCTCAGGGGATGGCTGAAGGCCACCTCAGCGGGTGGCTGTCCCCACCGGCGCTGCCACCAGCGTGTCGGTGCTGTCACTCCTGTCAGGCTGTCCCCACACATGTGCTCACAACAGGGATCCCTCCCTGCTCYCCGGTGGACAGACGGCCCGGCTGGTACAGGTTTGGAGCCATCCTGGCCGAGGGGCTGGCAGAGCCCTGGGAGCTGCTGGGGCTGTGTATGAACGTGTGACAGCCCCGGGGTGCTCTGCTCCGTGCTGTACTCAGCCCCATCTCAGACCCTGAGCAAAGGGCAGCTGTGGAACGCTCCTGGTGAGTTGGATTCAGGTCCAAAATCACAATGGGGACACACATGGACATCCCGAGGGATGATGGCACCAGCACAGCCCGGAGCCAAGCGCGGTGCTGAAACGGGCACAGGCGGCTCCGCTCACCCCGCAGCGCTTGGGGACAGCTGCTCGTTCCCAATTCTGCAGGCTCGGGCTGGCCTGGATGTCCTTAATTGCCCAAAGGTCGGTGTCCCCGAGCCCGGGGCCACGTGTCGGAGGGACCCGGGGCAGGAACCTGACACGGCCGCGAGTCATTCGGGATCAACGCTGGGGGTCAGGAAATTACAACGGACACGAACCTAAATATGCTGCACGTCCCCCCAGGTAATCAGGGGCCGGGCCAGATTCCAGCTGACAGCTTAAATGCCTTAATTCCTCAGCCGCTGTGGTTCCAGGGGGTCCCGTGTGCCGTGGGCTTCTCCCAAACGGTCTCTGAGCTGGGGATTTGTCTGTAATTGGAGGCGTGTTGCATTCCCCTGAAAGTAGCCAGGTCCCGCTGGAGGGGGGCTGCGGGAAGGCAGCAATTTCCCTTATGGAATTATTTACCTGATTAGAGAGTTTATTTTATCAAAATTGCTTCAGAATGGGGCTGCTCAGTGTGTCCAGCGCAGGGAGCTCCCCGGTGGGGCTGGCGGCCTGGAGACAGGTAATTTGCGTGGTTAATGGGACTAATCCACCAGGCAATTACACCAATAGATTTCGCGGCTGCAAAGTGCTCTGTTCCCATTAATTAAAAATCTGTTAAGAAGATTAGCACGTACAGGTATCAAAAGAAACCCGTGAGTTTCTTTCCCCACTGGCCCCCAAAGGCGAGTGTGGGAGTGCTGGATTGCTCACATTAGCACAAAAATGATTCTTTTAGAGGTAAGGGCTTCACATCCAAAGTCACCGCTGACAGTTTACCCCGACTTCCCTACCAAGAGGTCCTTTATCTTTAATTATAGTTTTTTAAAAATTAGCCCTGATTGTTCGTGTGGAGTGTTAGCTTAAATGTCTTTGGAACGCGTGGTGGCACAGGGCGAGGAGGGCAGGCCCCGGCCCAGCTCTGTGCCCCAAAACGTGGCCCTACTGCTGGGCTGGAGCTCGGGACTGCCCGGGAGGGGACGGGGGTCCGAGGGGCCGGGATGGGGATGGGGAAGGATGGGGATCCAGCAGCACCATCGGTCCCACCCCTGATGGGGACGCGGCCACCAAACGCGGCTCTGCCCATGCTGTGCGGGCACATCCCGGTGTGGCGGGGGCACAAAGCTCCACCAGCGGCTGCTCTGTGGCAGGACACCCGTGCCAGCAGCACCCGCACCCCACGGACACCCCACTGCCATCCCCACAGACTGCCCGGCTCTGCTCAGCCCCCGCTCGGCCACCGCTGCCTCTCCTGGGCTTTGTCCACAGCCAGGCACGAGCAAAACAAAAGCAAATTCCCCGGCAGCTGAAGGTGCCATTTTTACGGCTGGGCTGAACGAGGAAGTATTTTTTGATCTCTTAAAAATCCTGAATATTATCTGACAGTTTATCTTGTTTCTCGCATCCGTGTCTTTGCAGCAACGCCAGCTCATTTACATGTGTATTGCGCCTGCCTCCACGGGTGCTGAGGTCAATTGAAACTCAAGAAAAGAGGAGAAATTTATGCAAAACTGTTGATTGCATTTGTATGTAATGAAATCATCCAATATTCATCTGACTATAGACTCTAATCTGAAAGGAGAAGTGAAGGACATAAGAGTCACTGGAAAGCAATAATGAGCTTCTGTAGTGATTAAAAAAGCACTTGAGCTTTCTGAAAATCCAGCCAGAAATCGTGTCTAATCAACACGGAATATAGGAGGCAGAGATTACATTGATACATTTTGCAAAGCTCACTGTTGAAAATGTATGCGCGCTGTAAACTCTGACATGCCATCCAGGGTCTGTTGGATACAAATCCGGGCGGCACAATCAGCGCCCGGCTCGTCCCTGGCACAAAGCAATCTCGGTGTCTCTGCTCGATGACTCACAAGGAGCGCAATCACATCTATTTTGAAGAGCAATGTTGTTTTTTAACTATGTCGAGAGCTTCCAGCTTCCTTGGAGTTTTTCCTTCCCTTTTTCCTCTGCGTCCCTGTGGCCACGGGGCTCTGTCCAGGAGCTGGTGGGTGCCCAGTGCCTGTCCTGGTCCTTGTCCAGCGGCTTGGAGGAGATCGGAGCATCAGGGTGGGGCTGGGTGTGGCTTTGGGGCAGCGTGGGATGGGTGGAGGTGTCACCAGAGCAGTGTGGCACACGGGTGTGACCCCTCGTGTCGAGGGTGTGACCCCTTGGAACCCCCCACCCTCCAGGCCACAGCAGCCCCTGTGGGGTGTGAACTTGGGCAGACCTACAGGTGCTGTTGGGAAAGGGGTCCCTGTGAGGTGAAGACAACCCAGGGCACAGCAGAGGGTCCAGCCATGGCCTCTTTCGTCCCCTGCACCCACAGAATTCAYRGCCAWGGCCAAACCCTTCGGTGGCTGATGYGGTGTCACCGACACGGACCCATCAGAGCAGCCCYGCCGCTTTCTGGCCCGTGTCCCTTCCCCTCCTGGGTTATTTGGCACAGCTGGAGTTCCTTTCCCACCCGCCAACAGCATCAGCTGCAGCTTCTTATCAGCTCTGGGTGCAATCCAGGCTGGAGCCGAGTGAGAGGCTCCTGCTGCCAGCGGAGGAGTGTTTGGAGCAGGCAGACCTTGTGCTGCAGCTCCTGATGTGGAGCAGCAGGTGATTTCTGCCGCAGAGGGAAAGTGGGGCCTCTCCAGGGCTGTCCTTGAGCCAGCCAGTGGTGTGTGCCCATCCTCTGCCCTCCTGGGTGGTGCTGCTGTGTTTCTGTGACTGAAATGCTGGTTTTTTGTTTGTCCTGCAGTGCAAGGTGCCACAGGGAGCAGGATGGGCTGTGGGACACATCTGTCTGCCCTGCTTTGGTGGTGCCAGGGCTGAGAGCTGCATTTGTGGTGCTGTGGCTGCTCCGGGCTGAGGGGGATGCAGGTGAATGGGCACCCCAACCATCCGGGCAGCTCCATCCCTGCCTAGCACCAGCGGTGATTTTACTGCAGGTTTCATTCCTTGTGAGGTGCAATGGTGAATATTTGGGCAATTCCTCTGTGCAATGACCCCCTGCAGCTCCACTACCTGCCTCCCCCAGCCCACTGCCACCACCCCAAGGGCTTGGGGAAYGGGAAGAGCCTGGAGGAGCCTCCAMGAGCAGCAGCTCCACCTGCCCTGGCTTTGTGGAGCTCCCAGCTCAGCASCTGCTGCTCCAGGGCAGGTATCAGGGAAACCCTTCCAGTCCAGGGGATGCTGAGGCTGCAACAATGGCAAAAAAAAAAACCCAAAAAAAGCCCAGTTGATAAATGTCAAAAGAAATGCAGTAATCGGCTGAAAGCAATTTCCCGAGCTGTGGAACCGCCCTGGGCTCGCCATCTTCCTTTATTCATTTATCATGGTAAGGGCTTTGGCCAAAATACACAAAGCAGAGAAATTGTTGACATGTGGGGCCCTAGCAGAGCAAATCCTTCATCCTCCTCCCCTTCCCCGCGGCACACTAACTTTTGGGGAGTTGTTTATTTAAGGAGTGCAGAGCACTCGGTGCTCTTTGAACCCAAATGCCTTGGGAGCAGGGCTGGGGGCTGCCACCACCTTCCTGCTCCTGCCACAGCCGAGGCCATCATGGGAAGGACCTGCCCACAGTGAGGGGCTGAGCTGTGGGATGTGCCCAGGACCTGCTCTGCCTGTACCTCCTCCAGCCCCTGAACTGAGGTGCCTGCGACTCACACAGGCGTTTTGTAAATGATGTCACTTTGGGAAAGTTCTGGGGTTGGCTTTGGGTCTTCTCAGTCCTGAAATCCCCGTCCCTGCCCACCCTGTGCTGACCCTTCCCACACTGCTGGCAGCTGCCAGCCATGGCACAGGTCAAATGCCTCCTGTTCCCTCCCAAGGGAAAGCACCCACCAGGACCTGGCTGTGGCAAGGCTGCTCCTCCACATCTCATTCTGACTTTATTTCAAGCAAAAATAAATGCTGAGGTCTGCAGCAGGACAGGCAGGTTCCTCTCATGTGTGGCATGGGCTCCAGGAGCTGATGGTGCGGGGCACAAGGTGAGCAGGGCAGTCCTTCCTCTGTGCTTCACCTTCCTGGTATTTTATTTTTGATCTCAGTTCATCCGATTTTGCTSCCACCTGAACGAAGGACAGCAAACAGAACTCCCTGCTCCCTCCAGCACACCCCAAGGTGGCCATGGGAGCAGCCATGGCACAGAGGTGACTGCTGGGGGTGGCTGTCCATTCCTGCTCGAGGGGGAGTGTGTCCTTTGGGATGGGGTTTATCCAAGCAGCTCCTTGGTCTTTGCTGCCAGCAGCTTGTCCATCTCCGTGGCAGCCTCATCTGCCATTTGCTGGATCTGTGGCAARACAGTGCAAATCAGAGTTCTGTGCACAGTGATGGCACAGCTCAAAAGGAAAGGAGTGACTGAACAACCCTCTGGAACAAAGCTGTAAAACCCCCMCAGTGCTGGGAGGATAACTGGCTCTTCCTGGGGCTCTGTGCCAGTGTGGCACCTGCACTGTGAGAGCAGGGAATGGCCAAAGCTCTGAAAAGTGATGCTCACACAAACTCCTGGCTTGGCCAGGTTTAACAGACACCCAGGGCAGGGCAGGGGCAGAGCCCTGCTGGTGCTGGCACTGGGGAAGAGGGGCTGTGACCTCCTGCAGCACTGTCAGAAGTCACAGGGAATATCCTGTGCATGTGCCAGGAATTCGCACATCACATAACAACCTGTTTATTTATTTAATTTTATAAATTAAAATGGTGATTGGTCAAGTCCTGCCAGCGATCAGCTCTCCTGGTAATGAGAGATGGACAAGGCAAGTGTGTAAAAGGATGGGAACGTGCAGGCAGGTCAAGAGTGGGCACACCCTGTGTTATGCACAGGTTTCATAGGATCAAGATGTGCTTGTTCCCAAGATCTGACAATAAACTCTGCTCACGATGAAAAATTTGGGTACAGGAAGAAAATTCCACTGGAGATGTTCCCTCTGCCAATGCAGAGAACCACCTGTGAGCTCTGGGAGAGCTGCTTCCCGACAGGATTCGGTTACAATGGCATGGCCATTTTTCCTGCTTGCACAAACGCTCTGTATATCGATGTTTATTTTTGTGAGCACACAGGGAACTGTCCCGGAGCATTTGCAATGTATCTAACTTTAGCTGTTAATAAACAAACAGCTAAGAAGTAATGGCCTGCCTTCAGAGGCATCAATTCAGCARAACACTTAGGCTTGTGCCTGAGTTTATGCCCAAGTAATTGACTTTAGTGACATCTGCTCTTAGGGAATTAGGCATGTGCTTAAGTATTTTCCTGAATTGGAGCCAAAAACTTGAACAGAGATAATCTTGCAAGCCTTTTCATTAATAACCACCAGAGCAATCCTCATTAACACCRGTTTGCAGTGGCCAGGCACTGGTGAGTGATGGTGCAGCCATGGACGTGGATTCTTTTGCTCCCYAAATTCTGCAACAATCCCTTTTAGTACAAAAGCTTTTGGGGATTTTTTTTTCCCTGGGTCAGCTTACAATGGCTCATATCATTAATCTGGCTTTGAGATTGAAGCCCTAAATCTCACAAAGAGAAGGCAAAGACAACATTTGCCAACTCCAAAAATCCAGCCCAGGGCTGCCCATTCCCCCACTGGATTCTCAGTGCTGGGCCTGGGACAAACACACCACTGAGCTCTGAGACACCATCAGAGACATCATCTGAGACACATGGCAGAAAGAAAGAATAATCACCTGCTTTTCCAGCAGCCAGATGGTATCTTCTGACACTTTGCTCTTGAACTTCTTCACCTGGGTGATACTTTTGCTTCGCACCTTTCTCAGGGCCTCTTTGGATTTGTTGGTGGACTGCTTGGCCAGTTTGGCCAGGCTCTCCCTGTGCTCCCTCGTGACCCTAAAGAGAGAGGAAAAACACCAAAAGGAAAAGCAGTGTCATGTGCAGCACAGCCAGACTGATTTTCTGTGGAGGACTCTGGGTAAATGAGTGATCCTCTCCAACTGGAGCTGTCCTGCCYAGGACACACAAAAGCTGCTGGTTTTAGATGGAGCTTGCTTTGTGTAAAGACCCTGTGTCTCARGGCAGAGGGACTGAACAGCTCAGGGCATGTTTTTATTCTGCTTTGGTCCACCTGAGAAAATCTGCCACCTCGGCACAGCATCCCAGGGAAGCAAGTCTTGAGCCTAGAATGGAAAATTTCCAGCCCAGCCCTAAGCTGAGGATCTTGGACTGAATCTTACTTGTTTTATAGTTGTTGCTGCAGTGCCTGAAAGTCATCTTGAAATGTTCAGACTTTCCTTACTTCCTGCTGCCAAAGCATGTGTGGGAAAGAGGAAAAATCCAGCTCCAGACTTGAAAGATAGAACTKAAAAATATCATCCTAAAAAGCACAATCCTGCAAAGCCAGGAGGAAATGTCTGCTCCTGAAAGTCGGATTTGTCTCCCTGCAACTGAAGWGCTCGAACAGCCTGAATTATGTACCTGGGAGCTACAGAGCTTATCTTTCACTCCATCTTATTCCAGCTCCCCATGACCAAGGTGATATGAACACCTGGTTTGACAAGAGGACAATGGTGAGCCACAGGTCGATCAGCCCAGGAGAATTTCAGCTGCTCCTTCCCCCTGATGTGGGGCAATTTACTGCTGTGGTGCCACAAGAAAATATTCAACTTTCTATCCCAACCTCAAACCTGCTGATGAAGGGGTCTGGCCATCCAAAAGGCTCAGAAATGGCTGTGTCCCCTCAGCTCAGGTCATCTTCCAGCACCCACAGCTGACCACCATCAACTGCTAGTGTTTAACAGGAATATTTTAATTATTTTCAGAGCTCTTGGCATTTCCAGGCTGCCTGGAGAAGGAAAAGCCCTGGTGCACTCCCTGAGACTCACTAGCCGGAGAACGCAGGGGGGTGATATTGCAAAATAAACATTTCACAGGAGTATTTAGAAATTGGCTGGGTCACCAAAACCCTGGGGCCGGACTCTTCCCGTAGAGAGCTCAGGAAATGTGGGGTGAGGGTGAGAGTCCCTGAGCTCTGCCCCACAGTGGGTGTGGGTTGGGGGGCTCTGGGGACACAGTCCCTGCACCCCAACACCGACACTCTGGAGTTCCTCATGCCCCACCTCCCCAGCCAGCTCACAGGTCTGCTTCAGGTCATGTTCACAGCAGCGTTTGGGGGAGCAGGGAKTCAATCCTGGCTCTCAGCCTGGAGSAGGGAGCTGGGAATGTCCCCCATCCCCTGCTGGGTGGGAGGGAGCTGCTCAGCTCTRCGAGCCCAAGCTCAGCTCAGCCGAGGGTATCGCTCGCCTGCCCGGGGCTGCTGAGCCTTGAAGGAAATGTTTTTGTTTATGCAGCACTGCCAGATTTCCTCTGCTTCTTGGCACTGGGTCACAGCTTTCATGCCTCCTTGTCTGTCTTTATTAACACCAATTTCTTTTTATCACCGCGCAGTGCCGGGGAGTTTCTCAGCGGGTTTTATGTTCCAGCCAGACTGTGTGTAAATTCTCAGCAATGCTACCAATAATGCCAGAAACGGACACTTTTCCAAGCAGATGCTGTTTCTGGTTAAGGAATCCATCAACACGAGCCAGGCCTAAGGTTTCTAAGGACAGTTGTTTTAATCCTGCCCGGAGATCTGGGACTTCTAAGCTGTTCTTAGGTATGTTTTCTTTTCTGTCTAGTAACCATTGTCCCTACCCCCTCCTAAAGCCAAAACAAAGTGTGAACTTGGGGAAAGGGTGTCAGATGGGGAATGAGGTCCCAGCCTCTCAGAGCAGCAGGGTCAATCCCTGTTCCCCCAGGGACAGCGGAGTGGGGCAAAGCCTGGTGAGTGACACAACATGGGGGCACAACACAGCACCCCATGAGGAACAGCTTTTGTTTCTGGCTCCCTCAGCTCCAGGGCTCTGAGCACCACAGCCCTCACTGTCCCACCCCTGCGTGTGACAGAGCACACCCTGGGAGAGGATGACCCAGTTCAGCTCAACACCAGACACTTCTCCRGCTAAGAGCGATTTCTGCACCTCCAACAGCAGGAATTTCCTGTGAAGGAGAGGGATCAGTTAAAGGAAAGCAGGCTAAACTAAACACTCTGCATTCATAATTGCACATAAACACAGGGTGCTACATTTACTGCTCAATAACACTCAGGCTCCTGACGGTGAGCGGGTGCAGCTCACAACAGCTTTGGTGTGCTTTCAAGTGACATTTTTTGGTCTTTTCTCCCCATAATACGTATCTTTGCACATTTCTTAAGGGGCAAAGGGGAAAAAAAAARGCTCACAATGAGTCATTAAACTTTCAAATGAGTCATCTGGCTTTCAGTAAAGCATGTGTAAAAATATTACTGATTTACAAACAATATCCAGTGTAACACAATGGGTCCAAAAAAGATGAATCTAAAAATGAGGCAATACCATAAAAGACACAAGGTCAGGTCAAATTYGGCCAAGAGATCAACCAATACAAACGTTCCCATGGCCGGTTTTCTTTCTTTTTTTTTTTTAATTTTTATTTTTAAACCCTCAGAGGCTACTTTTAATACAAATAAATATTGCCTATGCAGTGCTAGCCACACAAACAGGAGAATGCCCTGGGGAGAAGAGGGATCCTGGCAGGCAGCAGAAGTAAACACCAATGACACGAGTGTATTTTTTCTGTTAAAACTGCAGTACAAAAACTAAACTGATAGAATAAATACTGGAAAGCAAACTCCATTTTTAAATGCTCTGTTGAAACACTCTGGAGCACAGCTGGACCTGCACAAGGCAAAATATGACACAATGTGTGTCCAGCTGACGGGTCAAACTAAAAAGTGGTTTTAATAACAGGTAAGGACAATTGGGATTTGGTTCTACTGTGCCTCCCTTTGTGAAAGAATCAAAGTCTGCAGAACTGATATTAATATTGTCTCTCCATTTCTGATTTGTTGCTTATTTTGCATACCTGATGTAATTTTGCAATTTCACTGAACTGCTGGAAATAACGCAAAACCTAGAAAATTTTAAAAAATAAATGAGGGATATAATGTGAAAGAGAGGCCTCTAGTAGAATTTGATGATTTCTGCCCTGCCCTTTTCATTAGGGGGTTTTAAAAGGCTGGAACTGTCTGTTTGTCTTTTTGAGAAGTGGCTGGAACTCCCACAGCCCCAGACATGTACTAGAGAGCAAAAGGTGCCAATGAGGGCAGACCCAGAGGGCACAGCCCCAAAGCTAAAATCCCAAACTCAGGACTGCCCAGGCTCCCAAACAGCCAGGAAGGGACCAGGAACTGCAGCTCTGAAGGAGAGGAACATAGGAGCACGCCAGGCAGAGCTTCCCTGGGAAGAGGAGACTTGTTTTCACTCTGCAGCACCACAGAAGACAGCGACAGACTGTACACATTTGTTTAAAAACACAGTATTTTGTTAAAGCTTGGGATTTGCAGTTTTGGAGTTTCCTCCCCTGCAATTCGTATTCAAGGATGACCCAAGTGCCCATTAACAATCAAACCACTGTGCAGCAASCCGGGAGCCTCAGCAATTACGAAGATAATGGTGCCCTCCTCCTCCTCTGCCTCCTCTCCTGAGGAATGGGGGAAGGGCAGGGAGCACAGGGAAAGAAAATCAGCAAATAGAATGAAAATGTCATTCCCTCTCACCGACAGCAACGGAAAGCTGCAATTAGACTCCTCTGATCAAAATGCTGGGTAAAATTCCACAGAATTTTTAAAGATCTACAGCACAAGAAATACCTGGCTCATCTTTACTGAGRAGTCAGTCACCTGCTTGTGCAAGGCAGTGCATGTGTAAGGGGTTTGTGCCCAGCCYGTGTGAGAGCTGTTTGTCCTTACCCCAGTGTGACACCAGGCCCAGCCACACCTGCCCAGGGTGTTGAGATGCTCCATAAGCTCTGAGCATCCACAGGAACTCGTGAATTGTCCTTGTGCCACCCAACCCTGGTGCTCCTGTGCCAGGCTCTGGGAGACACACACTGGGAGCTCTCTGATTTCATCTCAAAGGATCCCCATTGCCAGGCAGAGCCAGGATYCCTTCTCCTCATCCAAACTGAAGCAGGGATGCAGCAGCACCTCCTGCCATGTCCAGGGGCTGGGAGACACTCGTGATGGTGAGGGAAGTGATGCTCAGCCCTTGCCCAGGGGCAGCCTGCTTTTCCAGCCCTACATCAAATTTTCCATTTGTTACACACTGTGTGTCACACACAAGCGTGAGCAGATTTTTCTGTCAAAGCAATACCTTTCCTGTCTCTCACCAATTCCTTTTAGTGCTTTCTGCAGCAAGGTGCTACTCTCCCCTGATACTACTGGCTCACTACTGCAGYTCTGTGTAATTCCAGGAATTTAGAGCAGGGCAGCAAAGAATCAGCTCCTGAATTAAAGCAATACAGTTTCAAAAGCCTTYGGCTCTCCCTTTCAAAGCACTGCAGCCAGCTAGGACCAAGCTTCCTCTGCAGGGGGAAGATGAAAAATAAGACCAATCATCAGATTGGCCAAGATGTGGTGACAATAGAGCTCAGACCCTTGGAAGAGGTTTCACAAAAAGCTTTTAAAGGCTCTGATATTTTGCTGAACCTGAACTRCAGCTCTTTGGAAAGCAGCTGCGTGGGGATATACAGCATGCTTACCCTCTGAAGGGCACTCACTGCAACCTCCTGTGTTCTCCTGCATGATGATGAGCTCGGGCATGGATACTCACTTGGGAACTGGCACCCGAATCACCGTCCCGTCCACCTCGGGGTTCAGGTTCATGCCACTCTCCCTTATRGCCTTCGCAGCTGCAGCTGTGCTCTGTAAAACAGATCAAAAGGTAAAGGGAATTAGGAAATAATCATTCCCATATGCCAGAACTCTGTCAATAGTTGGCAATCCATCTCCATGGAACATGGAAACATTTACTTCTGTTACCAGTAAGATCAGGAAGTTACATTGGTGCAGAGAGCTTTGATCAAACCGAATGGGAAACTACGGCCGCTCGTATTGGGGTAGGGGGGCACAGAGCGGGGACAGGGGAAGGGAAGCAACAACAAAAGAAAAACTGTTTTGCTTCTTTGAAACTATTTGAATGGTTTGAGGCAACGCAGAGCGAAACCGCAATAAATTCCCAAGGCAGGGCCTGACTGTGGCAAAGGAGATGAAAGATTCTGAGCATKTAAGAATTCCAGTTGGATGTTTCCCCTTAGAAATCACCCAGTGCCAATTTTGAAATGTTAAGGAACTTAACCACTTCAGCACTACAASCTGACCACAGGACAGCAGGGCAGTAGCAGATGGCTGAGAACAAGTGCCTGTGCCCAGCTCTGTTTATTTTACAGCTTATTACTGAGGATTAACTTCTCAAAACTCCCCTGCCGCTGGCTGACACTCTGCTCTGCTTACAAGGTGGGGTGGCAGGTTTGCCTGGTGACTGCAAGGTGAATAAAGTGCACCTCTYCAGAGTGCCAGGCTTTGGGGTTAAAGCAGAGCGTGGCTGGGAGTTCTCGCAGGGCTCTGCCAGGTCACTCCATTCTTGACTCTGACAAGCTGCAGGAATCTGTTTTCCTGTGGCAYTCACGTTTCCTACCAGGCACGATGCTATTTCTGATACTCCTTGCCATCATTAACTTTAGCTCCAGGCTGCTGCAGTATTTATGTAGCTCAGACTGTATTTATAAAGCTCATCTTTTGCCAACTGAGGCACAAACTAAAGATCTGCAGATTTGYTCAGATCCCTGATGTGTGACATCACTGAATGAAATGAACGTTCTGCTGGTGTTCCATAGGAGGCAACTGCTGTCCCTTGACACTACAAGGGCAGAGAAAATGCAACCAAAATGATCTCAGCACGTTAGGAATGTAAATRTGTTATTCCATGGACAGTGCTTGTTCTGCAGGAAAGAAATGCTCAGAAAAAAAAACTGTGTTGTTTAACATAGATATTGGAGGAGATAGAAGAGGAAAATAATGAGAAAAGGGAAAATATTGCAATATTGCTCCCAAACTCTTGCAGCCTGTGAAAAAAAAATAACTGTATTTTAAAAACCAATGCTGTTCGGTTTTATAACTCTTAGGCAAACAGAATTTGGCCCTGCAAGTCTTTTTCTATGATTATTTTATTTCTCAGACTCTTCAGGCAATTTTATTTGCTTCTCAATGTCATGAAATACTATATGCCATAAATAATGGTGTCTGTAATGGTTTTAGTTCAATCTATCACAAAAAAGGTACGGTATAAAGCAAGGGCATTGAGAGAAAAGTGACAAGTGGTCCTTKGGCTTACAAAGCAAATGTAGGCAATGCTATCCAGAGGATATTTAATTTCTCATATGCCCATTTCTCAGCCTGAGCTCCTGCCTGGACATGGGATAAGCCATGGAAGGACTTCCCCAGCTCTCTCAGCGCCGACACTCGGCGGGACCTCGCTGATGAGGGGCCTCCATTCTTCAGAGCCTTTTYACACACGGGATGCACTTTAACAAACACTTAGGCATCGAGTGCCTTACACTGACCTCCTCTGAGACTTTGCTGACTTAATTAATTGGGGAAAGCCTTTGCAAAATAAATAGAGATAAGCCCTGGCAAAGCTCCAGCCCTGGAGCAGGATGAATCGTTAACCTTGCGCTCGCTYCCACGTGCCCGGCTCTGTCGGTGGGACCTGCTGCAGAGCACCACAAGGGCCTGACCCCAAGCTGCAATTTGGATTTGCTGCCTCTTTTAGKGGCAGGTCTAAGGCTCCTGCAGAAAATTAAAAGAACTTGTTTCTCACAGAAGAGAAACAGAGCMTCTAATTCAGGTTCTGACCTAGAGGTGCTGCCAAGGGAGGAGCTGGCCAACCTCCACAAGGCCCAAGTTGGGCTCTGTGACAGCACTTAGCATGGGCCAGCTCAGTCCCACCAGGGAAGCTCTTTAGAAGCTCACAGGCCCCATCAGCAACTTCTCCCATGAACTCTCAGGGGTATCACCAGCCCTGGTGATACATAAGGAAGTTTCTGAGGTGTTTGATGAAGTCCACAGCACAAATTCCAACTTCACATCTGGCYCTGTGCATGGCCACGTCTTGACAAGGAACTGAAATAAATACATGGGGCAAATACAGCACTGCAGCCATGTGTGCAGCTCAGGTAAGTGGGTGTGTGCTCAGGACTCCTGGGGACCATAAATGCATGGGAAATGGGGRGACTGGAAGGGCACAATGAATGCAGGCATCTGGTCCATGATGCTTCGTGTTGTTTTGCAGATCCAGCTGAGGGGGAAGCGTCCTCAGAGCAAACCCCTGSAACTGTGGCACTSCTGGGATATGACCATGACAGCAAMCACAGCACATAACTCTCCTGTGAGSCTGTGCTGCTGCAGGTGAGCTGCTCTGGGAGCCACGTGGGGCTGGGGAGTTGCTGTCAGCAGTAGAATGCCTCTTCTGTTCTGTGTCAGCACAAAGTGACACAGCCCAGCCCGGGTCTGCAGCCCTGCCACGTTTGACTGATTCTGTCTAAACGTTCCTTTGCTCAGCATCAACCTGTTTGTTCCTGTGGCAATTATCTCCCCCCACAATGCCCTCAGCCATGTGTCCTTACCTCTGGAAAATTGGTCATGTTCACTATCAGGAGCTGYGGTGACTTCTGGGAGATCTGCCCCAGCTGGTTCAGCGGAAACTTCCCATCCTTTGTCATCACAATTATGTGATCCAGGGCCCCTCAAGAGAAGCAGACACAGGGAGGTTCACTAYGGTGCACCCATGCTGGACAGAAATRTGTCCACATTGTGCCACTTCCCTTCTGCCAATGCAAAATACAGAGGTTACAAAGGAAAAAACAGGACCTCGTTTATTATTCAGGTGCTGTTTGTGTTCAGGCATCCCCTGTGTATTCACAAGTTAAATATGTCAAAGCTATTCTAAAACACAACAACATGAAAACAAAACTCTTGTTTGTTTTTGCAACTAGAATAGGAAAAGTAAGCAGGATTCTTAAGAATTAAAGGGAAATGGCTTTTTTTTTAATTCTTAGAACTTACAGAAAATCAAAATGTTGCTATAATAATCAAGACAAATATTGTCTTTAACTTGCTCTCTTAAACTCCTCTTTTTTTTTTCCAGGCCCCCAGAGGGGTGTTGTACACTGCCTAATTTAAAGTATTCAGTTTCTCCCTGAGCTACTCTTAATCTGCTCTCTGCTTTCTGCTGCAAAATGTTAACAGGCCAAAAAGCACATGGGACAGGAGGTACTTTATCAGTRCAATTAAAAAAAATACCTATGGTTAAAATAAATAGTTAAGAGACTGAACTAAGCTTCCCAGCTCCATTAAAGACAGGAGTGCCCCTGCCAGAGCTGGGGTGGTGAATGATTTGAATTTGGTCATTGTTTAATGTTAAAATTTATCCCTGAAACTYGATACATTTACAAATGCGTATGTTCAGTGTGTTACAGGAACTGTAGCTTAGTCAAACACTGCCACATTTCTTCCTAAAACACAAAATCTGCTAAGTGAGCCAGGTTTGTACAGGTCACTACCCACAAAGATGCACAGCAGAAAAAAAGTTTGTATATGCCAGACACCAGCCCAATGGCAATTTCCAAAAGGCTAATTTAATGGCAATTGGATTTTTCCTGCCCTACTGCACCATTAGCTGCCAACCTGCTTCTCCATCACATCTGCAAACAGTTCAGTTAGASGCTTTTGACATCTCCCACTTACAAGAGCTATTTCCAGGAAGCTATTAACAAAAATGGATCCTTCCTGGTCAAGCTCAGGGTGAAGAAAGCCTCTAGCTGGGGAATGTCTGGGTTGTAGGAATTGGATGCCCAATGGATAACTCCAGGAAAAGAAAATCCATGTTGAAAAAAACTGAACTGTCCATTACTGGGATTTGCATCCTTATTTACGGGCTACAGAGCATCAAACGAGGAAGTTACCAACCTGGTGAGGTTCTGACACTCAGATTTCTGCTGAAATCTTCTTTCAGAGCTTCTATGACTGCCTGCATGTCTTCACTGGTTTCCTCCAAATTGATAATATCCTCAACTAGGGCAGCACTGATATTCACTTTGGCTTGACTCTGCCCTTTACCTTTAGCTGCAGATTACACAAAAAAAAATGGTTTCTATTTCTGACCAGTTAGAAAGTAGAAAGGAGATATTAAAGTCCTTGTCAGATTTAGAATCGAATCTAAAATAAATTGTAGTGAACCCAAAGTAACTGTATTTTTAATGAGTAAAGGGCTTAGAATTTGAACATGTCAGCCAAAATAAATACATATATATATAAAATATATAAATATGTAGAGGTAAAAAAGCTGCTGTTTTTACCTTTTTTGGTTGCCAGCTGCCTGCTCAGCAGCATYTGCTGCACACACTGCCTGCAGCCCTCCAGGAGCAGGGCTGGGCAGCCTGAGCGAGCCTGGGGCAGCCCCCTGCTCATGGCAAACGAGGAACGGTGCAGCAGGGACGGCAGAGGACGGAGGCACCTCAGTGCCAGAGCCATGGCTCACAGCTCCTCTCTGACCCACCTGGAAAAGAGAAAGGCAGGTGGGCAACTYGGCGTGCTAAAAACGGACAGATTTGGGTCTTAGTGGTGGCTCTGCTCAGTGATGTGGGCAGCAGGTCTGGGGGTCTGCAGTGCYCAACAGCAAATGCAGAGCACAGGGCTCGGTGGCTGCCAGTCCCTGGTACCAGCACGGCCTTTGAATATTTGTCCACACGAGCCTCTGACACAAAAACCGCGGCTGCTGAGCAGGAACAGCTCACCAGAGTCTCGGCTGTTCGCACATCAGCCGGGCTGAAATGTTCATTTGTGTCTCACTCGGTCTGACACCTGGATCACCTCTGACCCCGCACTCACAGGGGTTATTCCASCCTGGGCCGTTCGCGGCTCCGGGCCGATTTCGCAGCCGCGCCCAGAGCTGCGGCGACGCAGACGGGGCCGGGCACCGGGGGAACCTCTCCCAGCCCCGGGGCACCCGACCCTCTGGCCCCCGGTCCCCGGTGCCGGTCCCCGGTGCCGGTCCCCGGTGGCGGTCCCCGGTGGCGGTCCCCGGTGGCGGTCCCCGGTGGCGGTCCCCGGTGGCGGTCCCCGGTGCGCACAGGCCCCGCCCCCTCACCTGGCCCCGCCCCCTCACCTGGCCCCGCCCACACCGCCTCCCGCCCCTCAGGACGCCCCGGGCCTGGCCCGCTCGCCCCGGTTCCTCGGGAAAAGCTGAACCGGGGAGCGGGGATCGGGGCGCGGCGATCGGGAATGGGGGGCAGGGATCGGGGGCCGGGGGCGCGGAGGGGAAGAGAGGAAAGGGCGGGGAAGGGCGGGGGAGGGCGGGCGCCATCGCCTCGCTCACCGTCGCACAGCCCCGCGCGTGCCACACAACGTCATCAGGAACGGGCCGCGGCGTGACGTCACAGAGCGGCGCCGAGGGCGGGGCGAGGCCTGCGCGGGGACGGAGCGGGGATGTGAGGGAGGCCCGGGCCGCGCCCCTCGCCCCTCGCCCCTCGCCCCTCGTCCCTCGTCCCTCGTCCCTCGCCCGCCGCCGCTGCCCCCGCCGCCCTCCGCACCGCCATGGAGCCGGGCCGCCAGGCGCTGCCGCTGGAGAACGCCTCCATCCTCTCCGAGGGCGCGCTGCAGGACGGGCACCGCCTCTGGATCGGTAACCTCGACCCCAAGATCACCGAGTGAGTGACCGGGCGGCACCGCCGGGATCCGCGCCCTGCGGGACCCCCCGGGCACCGCCCCCGCGGCGGCACCGCCCCCGAACGGAGCCGTATCCCCGCATCAGCACCGATCCCTCCCGGGCGGTGCCGCATCGCCCCTCCCCGGCCCTGCCCTGCCC